CCCCCCCCCAATCTGTAAACATGCTGGCTGCTCCTAAGTTGCATTTGGAATCTCCAGCCTCCTGATCTGTATTGTGTTTAAAGCCAAGCAAATAAAGTTTAAGGTTATTAAACAGAAGGAGAAGTATCCAACATCTGGAGAGGAAACATTGAGCTGAGAGTGTAAGAAACTGTAAGTCCTGTTATTGTCTCATCAGTTAATAGGGATGTGAAGTAGCCGGTGACGACTGCTGCAGCAGCAGCATGTCCGGGTGGTTATTTCCCAGTACGATAGCTATAGAGGGGGATGCAAGGCACAAGGAGCAGAGAAAAATCCGGTTTGCAAGAGCTAAAAAATATGTATGGAAGCAAACAACAAATTACATTTGGCAGCTGACATAGCAGTTAGAATCCAGAAGTAGTGCGGGAAAATTTTTTACTTGCACCAAATCACTGGGCGGAGGAGGGTAGAGGGGGAATGCACGTTACGGATTACACAGCGTACCAAGAAATTATTCAGAAAGTACGTGTCGAAACTGTAGCTACCCTTAATCCTGCAAGTAGTTATTTCCATTCTCGCTGTGTGCAAATGCAGCCAACGGGATATTGGTACATTTGTCCGGAAGGATTGCTTGTAAAAGGGAGCAGTAGGAGAATGTACTGCTGCAAGTGTGCATTGCAAAAACAAGTACTAGTTGGAGATTGTGGATTTGTCATGCCTAAAAAACCAATAATGTTGTTTGTGTGGTTGTGTTGACAGTGCTGTCTCCAAATAAGAAATGAGATGTAATGCATCCTGCAGTCCATGCACGCCTCCTCTTGCAAATCGCGCATCATCCCTCTCTGGAAACCTTTAAGTCCTAAAATCTGGGAAAAGAGAACAAAAACATTATCATGGACCTGAGGGATTTTTACCTGTTGGCCGCTTTGATTGCCTGTTTAAGACTGGATTCTGCTATAGCTCAAGAACTTATTTACACTATTAGAGAAGAGCTGCCTGAAAACGTACCCATTGGGAACATACCAAAGGACCTGAACATTTCTCACATCAATGCTGCCACGGGGACCAGTGCCAGCCTTGTCTACAGACTGGTGTCTAAAGCAGGGGATGCCCCTCTGGTCAAAGTGTCCAGTACCACTGGGGAGATCTTTACGACGTCTAACAGAATAGACAGAGAAAAACTCTGTGCTGGAGCTTCCTATGCAGAAGAAAACGAGTGTTTCTTTGAACTTGAAGTGGTGATTCTACCCAATGACTTTTTTAGGCTGATCAAAATAAAAATCATTGTGAAGGATACTAATGACAATGCACCTATGTTTCCATCCCCTGTCATCAATATCTCCATCCCAGAAAACACTCTGATCAACAGTCGCTTTCCAATCCCATCAGCGACGGATCCCGACACAGGTTTCAACGGGGTGCAGCACTACGAATTGTTAAATGGGCAGAGTGTCTTTGGACTGGATATTGTAGAAACTCCGGAAGGAGAGAAGTGGCCTCAGCTGATCGTCCAGCAGAACTTGGACAGAGAGCAAAAGGACACCTACGTGATGAAAATCAAAGTGGAGGATGGAGGTACCCCCCAGAAATCTAGCACAGCCATCCTGCAAGTCACAGTAAGTGATGTCAATGATAACAGGCCAGTGTTTAAAGAGAGTCAAGTAGAGGTTCATATACCGGAGAATGCCCCTGTAGGCACTTCTGTAATTCAGCTTCATGCTACAGATGCAGATATAGGAAGCAATGCAGAAATCAGATACATTTTTGGTGCCCAAGTTGCCCCTGCAACCAAAAGGTTTTTTGCTTTAAACAACACCACGGGGCTGATTACAGTTCAGAGATCCTTAGATCGAGAAGAGACTGCTATTCACAAAGTGACAGTGCTGGCTAGTGATGGTAGCTCTACACCGGCTCGGGCAACCGTTACCATCAATGTCACTGACGTGAATGATAACCCTCCTAACATAGACCTCAGGTACATAATAAGTCCCATCAATGGCACAGTGTACTTATCTGAGAAAGATCCCATCAATACAAAGATTGCCCTAATTACGGTTTCAGATAAGGATACTGATGTGAACGGCAAAGTGATCTGTTTCATTGAGAGAGAGGTCCCCTTCCACTTGAAGGCGGTTTACGACAACCAGTATTTGCTAGAGACCTCTTCCTTGTTGGACTATGAGGGCACCAAAGAATTCAGCTTTAAAATCGTCGCTTCTGATTCGGGCAAGCCCAGTTTGAACCAGACTGCCCTGGTAAGAGTTAAACTGGAGGATGAAAATGACAACCCTCCGATTTTCAGCCAGCCTGTAATTGAGCTGTCAGTTTCTGAAAACAACCGGCGTGGTCTATACTTAACAACTATTAGTGCCACAGATGAAGACAGTGGGAAAAATGCAGACATTGTTTATCAGCTTGGCCCTAATGCCTCCTTTTTTGATCTGGATCGAAAGACAGGAGTTTTGACAGCCTCGAGAGTTTTTGACAGAGAAGAGCAGGAACGTTTCATTTTCACTGTTACAGCCCGAGACAATGGCACCCCTCCTTTGCAGAGTCAAGCAGCTGTAATTGTTACTGTGTTGGACGAAAATGACAACAGCCCCAAATTTACTCATAATCACTTCCAGTTTTTTGTATCGGAGAACTTACCAAAGTATAGCACGGTGGGGGTGATCACGGTGACCGATGCGGATGCCGGGGAAAATAAAGCGGTGACCCTTTCCATCCTGAATGACAATGAAAACTTTGTGCTGGATCCGTACTCTGGAGTTATAAAGTCCAACGTTTCTTTCGATCGAGAACAGCAGAGCTCCTACACCTTTGATGTTAAGGCAGTGGATGGAGGGCAACCTCCTCGCTCTTCCACAGCGAAAGTAACCATAAACGTCATGGATGTTAACGATAACAGCCCCGTTGTCATCTACCCACCTTCCAATACGTCTTTTAAGCTAGTGCCGCTCTCAGCAATTCCAGGATCGGTGGTAGCTGAAGTCTTTGCTGTGGATATAGACACTGGAATTAATGCCGAGCTTAAGTACACAATTGTAAGCGGAAATAACAAGGGTTTGTTTCGGATTGATCCCGTGACAGGTAATATCACTCTGGAAGAAAAACCAACTCCTAATGATGTGGGGCTGCATCGCCTGGTTGTCAACATAAGCGATTTGGGTTATCCCAAATCCCTGCATACTCTTGTGCTTGTGTTTTTGTATGTAAATGATACTGCTGGAAATGCCTCTTATATTTATGACTTGATACGCAGGACTATGGAAACACCTTTGGACCGGAACATAGGGGACAGTAGCCAACCCTACCAAAACGAGGACTATCTCACGATCATGATCGCTATTGTGGCAGGTGCCATGGTTGTCATAGTGGTGATATTTGTCACGGTTCTCGTTCGCTGTCGACATGCATCCAGATTCAAAGCTGCCCAGAGGAGCAAGCAAGGTGCTGAGTGGATGTCTCCCAATCAGGAGAACAAGCAAAACAAGAAAAAGAAAAGGAAGAAAAGGAAATCTCCGAAGAGCTCTCTTTTGAACTTTGTGACCATTGAGGAGTCCAAACCTGATGATGCAGTTCATGAACCTATCAACGGGACAATAAGCCTTCCAGCGGAGCTGGAGGAGCAAAGTATAGGAAGATTTGATTGGGGCACAGCACCACCAACAACCTTTAAGCCTAACAGTCCTGATCTTGCCAAGCATTACAAATCTGCCTCTCCACAGTCTGCTTTTCATCTCAAACCTGACACTCCAGTTTCAATGAAAAAGCACCACGTGATTCAGGAACTCCCGTTGGACAACACCTTTGTTGGTGGTTGTGACACCTCTCTTCCACTAGTTCAGATCACTTCAGTGCCTCAGAGTGCAGTTCCCAAGGAGGCTTCAAGACAAAGGGCCCCTTACACACCAGACAGGTAAACGAGCACTTTTACTGGTCTATAAGTACTGCATACAAGTGCCCGATCAACCAGTATTAAAAGTGCCACTATGTTGTGGGTTTTTTTGTTTCAGTCTAATTTAATTTAGTTATATTACGGGGGGAACAAAAAAAAAAACAAAACAAAAAAAACCCAAACCAAAACCAAAAAAAACTTGACCCCTTTATCATTTACCTGGGGCCTAACCATGCATTTGAGAAATGCCTCTGATACTTTGGGTTCTGAAGTACACTGATTGTTAAAGGACTGTTATGCATCCGTGCATGTGCACGTACATATGCATAAACAAAACTGAAAGAAAAAAGTTTTTTTTTTTCTCCCCAGTATTTGACTGTCCAAATGTAAAAGTTATTGAAGAAGAAAAACTGTTTCCTTATATGCCAAATTTCAGTCAGAAAATTTGACTGTTTTAAGATTGAAGGGATATGTACATTCAGTTTCAAATTTTGAAGTGAGTCGGCTTGAGTTTCTTCTATAGTTCCAGCTGATTTGAAACCTTGTTAAGTTAGTGTCACTGAAGGGGTTAATTTTTTTCCCTAACAAAGACGGCTGAATTTCCAAGCTACTTCATCTGTGAAGCACGTGGTTTGTTGGTAGGATATAACTAAGCCATACGGAAGTCTTCCTCTGAGTTCAAAATTATTTTGTTGTAATAGATTAAAGTTGGTATCGCATAGACAGTGTGTTGCATATTTTAAAGAAATGGCCAAAGCATACTTTTGAAAGGAATGCGTTCTCTGAATACACGTGAATTATGCAGGAAAAAAAGTCAGCCTATTGTAAATATTTTCTCATCTTAGTAATGCATAAGTGATCTGTCATAACTCATTTTAAACTGTGAAATATGCCATATGAAGAGGGATTAGGAGGCTGAGAAACTCATATTTCAACCAAATCCAGCATTAGTTTTTCTTAGGTCTAATAATTCCTTGCTAATAAAGATTTAAATGCGGCGCTGTCTAATTTATTTTATTGGTGCTTGTCTGTTGCCACTAAATTAGCACGTCCGTGTAGCCTGTAGATGGCACTGGGGTACCACGTCGCTCACGCTGGCCCGGTGCCAGCCCTGCAGTAGCTAGGAAAAGGGGGGGCGAGGTGGGGGGGCGGGGGGTAAGGACCAAGCTGATATTACAGCCAAAGAACCTTTTATTTAATGATAGTCGCACCGGAGCGGTCAGTAGTTAAGTTCGCGTGTTTGCCAGGCAGCTTCCGTAGCGCTTCGCTTTCGCTCCGCCGGCTTCGTAGGTGTTAGGAGTCGCGCTCGTATCCCTGCTGGTGCTGTACCCTCCAAGTTAGGGTGATTTGTCTGCATTTCTGACAGATATGAATCTTGGAGAACCGAGTGAGACACATTTAGGCTTGTCTTTGCAAAAAGATTTTGACAGTAGCCAAGTTTAGGATAAAGTCATCCTCTTGCTGTTGCATTAGCCTTATCTGAGATGAATGTGACGTTCCCAGAACTGTGTCTTGACTTTGGGTGTCTGTAAGGTGTCACGCTAACAAGATGCTAAGAATAAAACAAGCACTTTTGAGGCAGTTCTGCTAAAGTAACTGCTCTAAAACAACTTGTACTTACGACGAGACACTGAAAACATCACAGAAGGTTGTCACAAAACCTTAACCTTTCTAAGGACTTTAAAGAAGGGTATGCTCCCGGAGCTGTTGTCAGGCTGTTACACAGCACCATATACATACTGTCAACGTAAATTAAAAAAAAAGAACCAATTTAAAAAAAAAAACCAACAAATTTATAGAAGAGCTCTGAATAATCTGCGGTTACTCTGCTGAAGTTTTCTCCCCACTTTTAGTTACAAAATGTAACACCCTCAACCCACACATTCCTTTTCGGTTCTGAGATGTTGTTAATTTAGCTTAAATTAGCTTTCCAAACTCCATTAGGAAACTGAGACTTAATTCCCCCACAGCATTTAGAGGCAGTTAAGACCCAAAAAATTATTTACCTGACAGAATGTATAAGCTCTGCACAGTGAAATTGAATATGAGGAAAAAAATAGACCCCTCCAAACAAAAACTACTGGCAGTATTTTCAGAGTTACCCATCTTCATTACATTAAATGTACTGGTTTCAGTTTAATAATAATATCAGTCATTATACCTGTATATGGACCTGATTCAAATTCCACTAAAGTCTTACTGGATCCTTTTTGAAGTCAGCAGATACTCGTATCATATGATTTGGATTGCTCCCTGCAAAAGCTGTAATATTAGATGTAGCTGAAAATATAACTCTTTCTTAGGTAGACAGTTATCTAAACTGAGCTTGTGTGTTTTTATTCTGTGGGGAAGGAGACAGTGTCTTTTTTTTCTCCCCAATGATGAGTGTTACAGGACGTAACCCTTTTATGCCCCCTTGTCACTTTTGGCTGGAGGAGTATAGCCAGCAATGGTAGTAACCATTAGCAGCCTTCCTGTTGTTCTGCCTGTAATTCCTGAAATCAGGATGCGTTTTAGCTAATATTCATTGGCACAGGAGTTAAATACACTTTCATAGGTCTTTTTTTAGATTTGTGATGAGTATGGCCCTTAAGCAAAGTATTCAGACTTGAAAAGCTTACTGAATAGTAGTGTGTACTAATGCCACAGTATCTGAAAAACTTTTTTAAAAATTCCTTTAGGAAGAGATACTTAGTTCTGTGCCACTGTACCGTCTTCTTGAGGTTTAACATAATTAATTTTGCTGTATCTAATGGTAGAAGTTGTATTAAGTTACCTATATATTCGTCAAGTTTTCTTTATGTGGTTTGCAAAGGGTGCGGGAATTGTTGTGGAGGATGTTA